GGGGGAAGATAGTATTAACCGATAATGTTTGAGAAAAGTAACAAATAGGGGGGAAAAAAAATTGAAAGTATAGCTAGTGTGATTTGGCTTTGTTTAATTCTTTGTCCATTTTTACTTATGTTAGTAATTACGTATATATCTTTATGACACTTCTAACAACAACAAATAATTATTTTTCTACTTGTGTTTTGTAATATTTGAACCTATAATTCTTTTTATACTTATTTTCTATCAAATAAATATTATTATCGTGCCATGTCCGTTCTTATACTCAATAAAGTCTCTAAAATATTAGGCCCGACACGGCCCACTTATATATCGTGTCGTGCCCGTGCTCGTGCCCATGAAGTTTAGGCCCGACACAGCCATAAATTATTCGTGCTCGTGCCGGGCTGGCCCATTTATTTCGTGCTCGTGCCGGGCTCTAACCGTGCCGTGCCGTGCCGTGCTAGCCCGTGGACGGCACGGCCCGGTGCCCACGTACAAACGCACCCCTAAGGTGCGTTCCATGCAACGTCAGCACGCGAACCGCACTAGGAAGGTGCGGTGTGCTTTCTCTGCGGAACAGTCTTCAAGACGGTTAGATGGAGGAGCGATCGGACGACTTACCACGCGCACGCAGAGCAATCCGCACCATGGATCGGGGACCGTAGGTGCAAGGCGTGGTCAGCTCTTCGTGACTCGCAAACCGCCCCGGCAAGCTGCGGTTTTGACTGGGGCAAAATTACCCGACCACCCCTGGGGGGTCCGGTCTGGTGGGTATAAATACCCCCTCCTCCCTCTCAGTTTTTCACACCACAACCATTCTCCACTCTCTCTAGAATTATCTCTCTAAACCCTCCCCTCCCAAAAGCCTAGGAAATAGTAGTCTGTTGGTTGCTACTAAGTCCGATCTGCCATCAGAAAACATTTCTTAGGTTTTTTCCTCAAAACCCGCCGAGCCGAATGTCTGTCCGAATTTCCCGAAAAATGAGCGATTGGTGGCAAAGAGAGGGAGTTTATGTTGATGAATTTCTAGCGGTACGTACTCATTATTCTGGTTTAATTTTTGTTGTTGTTATAACCTTTTTAATTAATCTTTGTACTAACCTCGTTGTTATTTTCTCGTAGGTTGGGGACGACGTGGATATATACAGCCAACGGTATTATCTCGAGCAAGGACCGTTGGATCCAACCGACATGTACAACCAACCCAACCATCGGTCAAGGGATATTTGGAACGATCACCCGGTACATACAATTCCTCACCATTTGTCTTTCTTTTATTTTGCTAATGTATTTAGTGGAATATAAAATAAATTTATGTTGAATTTTTAATCGTGTTGGTTGTTTTCAATAATTTAATCGAATTCATTTAGAATGTTATTATGTTAATTAATTTAGGATGTTTGTTTTATGATAATATGTATGTTTCTCTTTAAATTATTATTGATTTAGAATGTTATTATGTTAATTATATGAACTGTATTTTTATGATAATAAAATTCCGCTTGAAGTTAAATAATTTAATTTAATTTAATTAATTTAGTTATAAGAAAAAAACCCTTACTAATATATAATAATTAACGTGTAAATTTTTGCTAGGAGGCACAAACAATAGTCCGCTATAGGGATACGACCAATGTTCTCCCATTCCACCCAGCTATCCCGCCCTTTCTCAAAAGGACACGGTTGGACCCGATTAGGCATTTTAACGGCATCAAAGTCGATCGATGACACGCTAGAACACAACACCAAATTGCGACCAAGTGTAATCGCAGAATGGGACTGCAGTATAGTGGCACAAGTAATAAATATCGAATCCACGGGTCTCTAGACTTACTATTACTCAGCTTCAGTTCATTATCTAGCAAACTAGATTAATTAAGGATTGATTTACTAAACTACTCTACTAACTACTCTACTAATTACAAGTTGGGAACTCACTTAGGTATGATTCCCACTAGCTCCTCAATTAGGTCCAAGTTGCAATTACCTTTGGTTGATCTACTGATGATTGAACCGCGGAAGATCCTAAATTAGCTTGGAATCTCTTAAGCTGACCAAGCCCTCTTAGATAGAATACCCGACAGGCGACTAGCCTTCACCGGGATAGACTGCTAAGGTGATTCACAAAGATCTCCACTACTGGAATGAATTCTAGTACAGCGCAGTGAATTGATTGACTCTCGCACAACCAATTCACCACGATCAATCAAGGAAGCTCTCTTAACCTAATCAGATTCTATCTATCATAGGTTAAAGCAAAAATCAAGAGAATTTGATCAAGATTAAATTGACTCAATAAATCATGCCTCAACCGATTATAATCAAACAATATCGCATCCAAAACTTCTGATGCTCTAAAATACAACACCTAACAATGGCCAAGTGTAACCAATGAAAGGGACTGCAGTATAGTGGCACAAGTAATAAATATCGAATCCACGGGTCTCTAGAGTTACTATTACTCAGCTTCAGTTCATTATCTAGCAAACTAGATTAAGGATTGATTAACTAAACTACTCTACTAACTAAACTAAGTAAAACTACTAATTACAGTTTGGGAACTCACTTAGGTATGATTCCCCCTAGCTCCTCAATTAGGTCCAAGTTGTAATTCCTTTTGGTTGTTTTACTGTTGATTAAACTGCGGAAGATCCGACAGTAGCTTGGAATCTCTTAAGCTGAGCAAGCCCTCTCAGTCTAACTATCCGGCAGACGACTAGTCTTCACCGGGATAGAAAGCTGAAGCAATAAGCACAGAACTCCAATACTGGAATTGGATTCCAGTACAAAGTAGTAAACTGGCTAAGCCAATCTCCTACTACCGAATGATGAGGCTCTAACAACCTAATCAGATTCTATCTATCTCAGGTTGCAGCAGAAATCAGGAAAAGTTGATCAGACTTCAATTGACTCAATAAACATGCACCATTCGATTATAATCAAACAATATAGCATCCAAAACTTCATACAAGAAAGATCCTAACTCATGGAACTAGGGTTCCTCAAAACCTAAGTGAAGGGAAGTTACTCCATAGAGAAGAGAGAGACTGCAGAAATCTGATCTAGATCTTCAATCTCCATCTCCAAGCTTGATTCCCGAGCTCCAATGGCGAAGAAATCCTCCAAAATAGCTCCAAGAATGTTCCCAAGTCGCTCTCTCTCTCTAGGGTTCGTCCCTTGGGTGTTTGGGATCCAAAACCCAGCTCTCCTCTTCCTTTGGCTCGAATCTGCCTCAAAAACCCGATTCTGGGCGAATTACGGGCTGAATTAAGGTCGTAATTCTTCCATGCCCGTATTTTGCCCAAAAAATGCGTTTTGGTTAAGTTTCAGCGCACCCAAAGCTCCTCTCGGCAGTGAAATTACGGGCATGGGAGGGAAAAATACGGTCGTAATTCTCCTGCCCGTATTTCTTCCTCCACCCCTGTTCAAAGCTTCGTTTCTCCCTTGTCCGGACTCCGAATCAGTCGCCGTTTGAACCCAGACGCTCGTAGTCTCGTTCTCTTTCTTTTAATAACAAATTTTCATGATTATTTGTCCATTATATGAGGTAGAAATCCATTATTCCTCAGGTCATGCTCGTGTTTCTTCTCCCGAATTTCCAAATGATCTCCGATTGACTTGAAACTTGCGCCTACGCTTCACTTTATGTGCTAGGGGCTGAAATGTGACAAAGGAACACAACCTAGCGTAAAATAGGCAAAAGAAGCGATAATGCAAGCTTAAACGATCAAGAAACAAAGGGGAAAACATGTGCAAATATCGAGTCATCAAATCCCCCCACACTTAACTGTTTGCTTGTCCCCAAGCAAACCTAACTCAAACCAATGCAGCTCTCCAGACCTCTATAGCAACATACAACCCCGATCGTCGGTTGAGGATTTCCTAGATCATATAGCAGCTTACGAGGTCAACTAGTCTTCTAAGACGTTCCCTATCTCTCTCAATACGAGTACTAGACTCAAGCCAGGACCATGAGAAGAAGTAGAAGTAAGACAGTCAGTTCATGGATAAAGGGACTCACACCATTCACAACCAAGGACTCGTTGTACCAGGGTGCTCTTTCACTTCATTTCACCGTTGGAACCCCATTTTTCACTTTCACTTTACTTTTGTTTACTTATTTTTTTCATTCACTTAGCGGGGGTTCCAACTGCAGTCTCTTCACGGTCGACCCTTATTAGTCGAGCAAGAGCAATTTCTGTACATCTGGCGCTCGCTAGAGTACTTCTTTTAACTCCTTTTCCTCAACTCGTGTGGAGGGTCAATGAAATTAAGGGGGGTCGGAAGCTCTATCCGTGCCCTTAAAAACGGATCCTCAAGTAGGCAAACCGTTCAACGGGTGGAAGTTTTACTTGTACTAGAGACAACTTAGCTTCACCTTGTAGGAGTACCCCACTAAGGATCACTAAAATCTCTTCCAAAACCCAATTTTGTGCAATGAACGGTGCCACACACGTTGGGCTTACCCCATGTTTAAGATTTTTGATGATTTAGACATGGAGGACCAACTACTTTCCATTTTCCACATGAGCACCCTGTTCGATACACGAGTCCATAACACAATCCAAATAGAGTCACCATTATCACATGAATTCAATGGTCCTAGCTCCACTAATTCACAAAATCAACTGGCACATCAGTGAGCAAGATAGGAAAAATCTTATACTTCAACATCCTCCAGAGTGCTACACTACCTCCCTAAGTTGCACATTACTATAGAGACTATCAATTCAAAGCATACTGAGCAGGCAATTTGCAAGGAAACACGTACTTGGAGCCCTCAAATTTAAAAATTTGGACAGTGAACTAGGCTCCAAGCACACAAACAGCCAACCATTCACCCGCATACATAATCGAACATCCCCCCACACTTAAGCACGACATTGTCCTCAATGGAGGAAAGATAAGGAGGGTAGAACGAAGTTACCAGATCAAGGGTGAATGATGGTGGACGAGGTAGGCAGTGCATTCCAGGATGAGAGAGTAGTCGGAGCACAAACACCACACAAAATCTCACAAAGGTTGAGTTATTGACTCTAAAATCAAATAACAAAACTGACTCAACCGAGGAGAAATAGAGAAAGAAATGCAAACCGACTGGTTGGGTTGCCTCCCAACAAGCGCTTCTTTCATGTCGTGAGCCGGACGATGGCTCCTAAGTTTCTGTCCATGCTAGAACCTCCTTGAAGTTGAGGTTCTCGTCGATGAGGTGGAGTCTCAAGTCACGAGCATGTAGTGTGGCAGGTGATGAAGGCTCATGTACTTGATGCAGATGAAGTCTCCACCCTCGAGACCTCTTCTTCTTTTCTCTCGTCTCATTGCCCCAAACCAGATATGACAACATCGATTGGCCACCATCGCGTCCATTAAGAGGGACCGATGTTGAAGTGGCCTTGGTCTGGCAAAGAGACACTGCAAATGGGTCCTTGCTAAGCAGTTCCTCAAAGTTTGGTGGGGATATTACTTGTAACTCATGGTCGGTGCATGCCTCTTCCACCTCAACTTCATCCTCAGCCTGGACGCCAATTGCTTCCTCAACCCCCCTTCCTTCTTCAAAATGTGGTCTCTCTCCTGGGAAAAGATCAAGAACCACCTCTTCTTTTCTTTCTTCCTCATCCTCCACAACTTCCTTCCTCATCCTTTCTCGCTCTTCTTCTTCTAGAACAGATTGGAGAGCAAGTCGCCAAGCAATTTCTTCAATGGGATAATCTTGCATCTCCTCGCACGGGCCCAACATGTTAGAGCATAAATGAGGAAAGGTGTGGTCTGCAACCAAAGGACTTTCCTGATCATGATTATCATGGGAGTTCTCTGTGATAACTTCTGTATGCTCCTCAACGCTCCCGTAGCCTTTGTCATCCTCCACCTCTTCTAGCGTGGTAGCAGAAAGGTGATCTTGAGCAAGATGTGAGCAAACTTGCTCCACCCACTCTGTTTGCTTCGCTGAGTGCTGAACAGTCTCCTCCATATCATGGAGAAATGAGGGATCGGAAGAGGCAAGGGCTTGAATTTGAAGATCCATCTTGGAGCAGGATCTCTCAGTGTCTCGAGCAAACTGCTCCACGAGAAGCCTTAATTGTTTGTTCGGATCTTCCAGTGAAGTGTAGCATGGCTCTGCAGAGTGGCCCGTGAAGGCCGCCATGGGTAACTCCAGCTCCGATGGCCCTTCTGGTTGTGGGAGAAAGTCTTCTTGGTAATGAGGTTGTTCTTGATATACCCAGGGGTCTGATTGTTCTCCGTAGTAAGGGGGTTGGTACTGGAACCCGAATCCATAATCTTCTCCTCCTTGATTGCTCCAGGGAGTCTCGGGGTAATACCACTCGGATGGTGGTGGATACCCCCAATGATTGGAGAAGCCATGAGGATCCATGATTCAGATCTGCACCAACAAAAACAAAAACACCCAAGTGAAAAGCAAGGGTGGAAAATAAAAGAAAAGAGAAGAAAAACGCTAAAGTAACAAACTTCTGCCTTTCCTAATACTCTAGAAAGTCCCCGGCAACGGCGCCAAAAACTTGATGCTCTAAAACACAACACCTAACAATGGCCAAGTGTAACCAATGGAAGGGACTGCAATATAGTGGCACAAGTAATAAATATCGAATCCACGGGTCTCTAGAGTTACTATTACTCAGCTTCAGTTCATTATCTAGCAAACTAGATTAAGGATTGATTAACTAAACTACTCTACTAACTAAACTAAGTAAAACTACTAATTACAGTTTGGGAACTCACTTAGGTATGATTCCCCCTAGCTCCTCAATTAGGTCCAAGTTGTAATTCCTTTTGGTTGTTTTACTGTTGATTAAACTGCGGAAGATCCGACAGTAGCTTGGAATCTCTTAAGCTGACCAGGCCCTCTCAGTCTAACTATCCGGCAGACGACTAGTCTTCACCGGGATAGAAAGCTGAAGCAATAAGCACAGAACTCCACTACTGGAATTGGATTCCAGTACAAAGCAGTAAACTGGCTAACTCTCGTATAGCCAATCTCCTACTACCGAATGATGAGGCTCTAACAACCTAATCAGATTCTATCTATCTCAGGTTGCAGCAGAAATCAGGAAAAGTTGATCAGACTTCAATTGACTCAATAAACATGCACCATTCGATTATAATCAAACAATATAGCATCCAAAACTTCATACAAGAAAGATCCTAACTCATGGAACTAGGGTTCCTCAAAACCTAAGTGAAGGGAAGTTACTCCATAGAGAAGAGAGAGACTGCAGAAATCTGATCTAGATCTTCAATCTCCATCTCCAAGCTTGATTCCCGAGCTCCAATGGCGAAGAAATCCTCCAAAATAGCTCCAAGAATGTTCCCGAGTCGCTCTCTCTCTCTAGGGTTCGTCCCTTGGGTGTTTGGGATCCAAATCCCAGCTCTCCTCTTCCTTTGGCTCGTATCTGCCTCAAAAACCCGATTCTGGGCGAATTACGGGCTGAATTAAGGTCGTAATTCTTCCATGCCCGTATTTTGCCCAAAACATGCGTTTTGGTTAAGTTTCAGCGCACCCAAAGCTCCTCTCGGCAGTGAAATTACGGGCATGGGAGGGGAAATTACGGTCGTAATTCTCCTGCCCGTAATTCTTCCTCCACCCCTGTTCAAAGCTTCGTTTCTCCCTCGTCCGGACTCCGAATCAGTCGCCGTTTGAACCCAGACGCTCGTAGTCTCGTCCTCTTTCTTTTAATAACAAACTTTCATGATTGTTTGTCCATTATATGAGGTAGAAATCCATTATTCCTCAGGTCATGCTCGTGTTTCTTCTCCCGAATTTCCAAATGATCTCCGATTGACTTGAAACTTGCGCCTACGCTTCACTTTATGTGCTAGGGCCTGAAATGTGACAAAGGAACACAACCTAGCGTAAAATAGGCAAAAGAAGCGATAATGCAAGCTTAAACGATCAAGAAACAAAGGGGAAAACATGTGCAAATATCGAGTCATCAACTTCATACCAGAAAGATCCTAACACATGGAACTAGGGTTCCTCAAAACCTAAATGAAGGGAAGTTACTCCATAGAGAAGAAACTGCAGAAATCTCAAGATTTGGACAGTTGACTAGGCTCCAAGCACACACATACAGCCAAACATTCACAAGCATACATAATCGAACATCCCCCCACACTTAAGCACGACATTGTCCTCAATGGAGGAAAGATAAGGAAGGTAGAACGAAGTTACAGATCAAGGGTGAATGATGGTGGACATGGCAGGCGGTGCATTCTAGGAGGAGAGCATAGTCGGAACACAAACACCCTACAAAATCTCACAAAGGTTGAGTTATTGACTCTAAAATCAAAGAACAAAATTGACTCAACAGAGGACAAATAGAGAAAGAAATGCAAACCGACTGGTTGGCTTGCCTCCCAACAAGCGCTTCTTTCACGTCGTGAGTCGGACGATGACTCCTAAGTTTCGGTCCACCCCAGAACCTCTTTGAAGTTGAGGTTCTCGTCGATGAGGTGGAGTCTCAAGTCACGAGCATGTGATATGACATGTGATGGAAGCTCGTGCACTTGATGCAGATGAAGTCTCCACCCTCGATACCTCTTCTTCTCTTCTCTCGTCTCATTGTCGCAAATCAGATATGACAACATTGAATGGCCACCATCGCGTCCACCAAGAGGGACCATGTCGATGTGGCCTTGGTCTGACAAAGAGATACTGCAAATGGGTCCTTGCTAAGCAATTCCTCGAAGTTTGGTGGAGATAGCACATGTAACTCATGGCCGGTGCAAGCCTCTTCCACCTCAACTTCGTCCTCGGCATGGATGCCAGTTGCTTCTTCAACCCCCCTTCCTTCTTCATGTGGTAATATCGCTGAGAAAAGATCAAGAACTCCTTCTGCTTTACTTTTGTCATCCTCCACAACTTCTTTCTGCACCTTTTCTAGCTCTTCTTCTTCCATCATGGATTGGAGGGCAAGTCGCCAAGCAATTTCTTTGATGAGATCATCTTGCATCTCCTCACTCATGCCCGCCTCTTCAAAGCTCAGTGTGGGATGTGGGAAGGTGTGGTCGGCTACGAAAGGACATTCCTGATCATGATCATCACGGGAGCTCTCCGTGACAACTTCTGTCTGCTCCACAATGTCTTCATAGCCTTCATCTTCCTCATCTTCTTCTAGTATAGTAGCAGAAGGGTGATCTTGAGAAGGGTGGGCATAAGAATTCTCAAGATCATCGAGGCTCTTCTTAATGCTAAGAGGATCTCCTCTTTTTCACGATAGGCCAGGGTACAAAGATCCATCTTGGAGCATGATCTCTCAGTGTCTCGAGCTAACTGATCCATGAGAAGCCTCAATTCATAGTTTGGATCTGGCTGTGGAGTGTAGCATGGCTCTGCAGAATGGCCCGTGCAGGTCGCCATGGCTAACTCCAGCTCCGATGGCCCTTCTGGTTGTGGGAGAAATTCTTCTTGATAAGGAGGTTGTTCTTGATATGCCCAGGGGTCTGATTGTTCTCCGTAGTAAGGGGGTTGGTATTGGAAACCGAATCCACAGTCTTCTCCTCCTTGATTGCTCCAGGAAGTCTCGGGGTAATACCACTCGGATGGTGGTGGATACCCTTAATGGTTGGAGAAGCCATGAGGATCCATGATTCAGATCTGCACCAACAAAAACAAAAACACTCAAGTGAAAAGCAAGGGTGAAAAAAAGAAAAACGCTAAAGTAACAAACTTATGCTTTTCCTAATAATCTAGAAAGTTCCCCGGCAACGGCGCCAAAAACTTGACACGCTACGACACAACACAAAATTGTGACCAAGGGTAATCGCAGAATGGGACTGCAGTATAGTGGCACAAGTAATAAATATCGAATCCACGGGTCTCTAGAGTTACTATTACTCAGCTTCAGTTCATTATCTAGCAAACTAGATTAATTAAGGATTGATTTACTAAACCACTCTACTAATTACAAGTTGGGAACTCACTTAGCTATGATTCCCCCTAGCTCCGCAATCAGGTCCAAGTTGCAATTACCTTTGGTTGATCTACTGATGATTAAACTGCGGAAGATCCTAAATTATCTTGGAATCTCTTAAGCTGACCAAGCCCTCTTAGATAGAATACCCGACAGGCGACTAGCCTTCACCGGGATAAACTGCTAAGGCGATTCACAAATATCTCCACTTTTGGAATGGATTCTAGTACAGCGCAGTGAATTGATTGACTCTCGCACAACCAATTCACCACTATCAATCAAGGAAGCTGCCTTAACCTAATCAGATTCTATCTATCATAGGTTAAAGCAGAAATCAAGAGAATTTGATCAAGATTCAATTGACTCAATAAATCATGCCTCAACCGAGTATAATCAAACAATATCGCATCCAAAACTTCATACAAGAAAGATCCTAACACATGGAACTAGGGTTCCTCAAAACCTAAGTGAAGGGAAGTTACTCCATAGAGAAGAGAGAGACTGCAGAAATCTAATCTAGATCTTCAATCTCCATCTCCAAGCTTGATTCCCGAGCTCCAATGGCGAAGAAATCCTCCAAAATAGCTCCAAGAATGTTCCCAATTCGCTCTCTCTCTAGGGTTCGTCCCTTGGGTGTTTGGGAACCAAAACCCAGCTCTCCCTTTCCTTTGGCTCGAATCTGCCTCAAAAACACAATTCTGGGCGAAATATGGGCAGAAATACGGTCGTAATGCTTCCATGCCCGTATTTTGCCCAATACACACGTTTTGGTTAAGTTTCAGCGCATCCAAAGCTTCTCTCGGCAGTGAAAATACAGGCATGGGAGGGGAAAATACGGTCGTAATTCTCCTGCCCGTATTTCTTCCTCCGCTCCTGTTTAATGCTTCGTTTCTCCCTCATTCGGACTCCGAATCAGTCGCCATTTGATCCCAGACGCTCGTAGTCTCGTCCTCTATCTTTTCATGACAAGATTCCATGATTATTTGTCCATAATATGAGGTAGAAGTTCATTCTTCCTCAGGTCATGCTCGTGTTTCTTCTCCCGAATTGCCAAATGATCTCCGATTGACTTGAAACTTGCATCTATACTTCAATTTACATGATAGGACCTAAAATGTGACAAAGGAACACAACCTAGCGTAAAAAAGTCCAAGAAAGCAAAAACTCAAGCCAAAATGATCAAGAAACGAGGGTGCAAATATGTGCAAATACGATGTTATCAAATTCCCCCACACTTAACCGTTTGCTTGTCCCCAAGAAAACCAAGTCAGATATAAGGTAAGATCGAGACATCTCAATTATGCAACCCTTGGGGACATATCACATAGGCACGAAACACGGGAATCATACTGGCTTTCAAACATCAACATCTTAACAACTTCAACCGCAACCTGGACAACCACCACAGAGGATATTTGAGTGCAGCAAAATCGAGTAAAGGAGGAGTTTCCCTTCTGTTCACCAACCAACCTAGACTCGACTCAACCACTTATTCAAAACAGTTAACTCATGCATAAAACTCAAGACATCAGAATAAAGACCGAGCCATCTAGGTCCTCACCAGGGTAAAGAGTGTAAAGAACAAGGAAATGAATCGCTCACTCTCGACCAGTGGGGTCAGGACAATTTGATGCAAAAAATGCGCATACTTATTCTCTCAATCCTAACGTCTCTTCACCATGACGACAACCTCTCAATGTTAGAGTTCACAAAAATGGGTGTCATCACTAACTAATCCGGAGGTCTTAGACACAGGTTCAAATGACCGGCTAGGGTCTTGTACATGGGGAAAAGGCCTTTTAGGTGGTGGAAGTATTCATAGACAAGGTTCCACAGTTCCAAATCCAACACAATCACAGCCAATTAAACCAATAACTTTCTTTCTGCTATTCTGCCTTACTCAAATTCTCTAGAGCACAAGAGCGAAGGAGGTCACATAAATGTTAGTATTTCCAAGCCAGACTGCTAAGAAACATTACTTAATGGGAACTATTCAAATTTTTGTGGTGGTGGCTCTCTTTTGCTTTCATTCAATTTTTTCATTTCTTTTCTTTTTTCATTTCTTGAGAGAACCACCACCTATGCACATTTTTCAAGCACATGCCCAACCTTTTAAGAACTACCTCCAACCCTCACATTAAATTTAGCAGAACAGCAGAGAACATGTAAAAACCACTCTCTGGAACCTTCTAAGAGATGCAAAAGGGTGATGTTTCATTGCAGACCGAAAGAAAGGATGTGACACGGCTCAAAGGGACTGACTAGGGGGTATGACTCACCAGGACAGTCATTTTGGTCGTGGGCTATTCCTATGCCTCCATCATCTTAGCTAATGACAACGTGAATGCTACACATCATGGAAGAGGGATCTATCGCACAAAAAAGAAACTAGCAGGCTCAAATCTCACATCGCTACCTATATGCTCTATCTCTCATTCTGATATGCATAAACGATTGTCAAGAACACGTGATCAATCCAAGTCACAGTTAGTAAGCAAACAGTTGA